TAATCAGTTAGTGAAATCTCTACAATTGTATCTAGAGCAAATTGCAAAAATAGTTTCCCTGGGACGTAAGCGTACCCAACAATTATTTGGTGCTGACCCTCATTTCATCATTATCCCAATTGATAAGGATCTAATGCAGATGCTGCTACAGACTGCTTTATATTGGCAAGTAGCCTTTGCAGATTTTATGGACAGATAGATAATCATTACCCTAGTGATCCTCTGTTTCAGCTTTTTTCACGACATATGTTTATTCTCCCCAAGACTACTCAATTTCAGCCATTGCAAGGTGCAAGGGCTCCTCTAAGGGCCAAGCAGCAATTTGGAGCTCTTCCTTTAGCTATGTGTTGCCTGCACCTGGTCTCTCTGCTCAGCAGTCAGAGTTGCTAGCCATTTTATTTGTGATCGAAAACTTTCCCTCCCAACCTCTTAATATTTTGAGTGATTCTTTTTATGCAGTTTGTTTGACTCAAAGACTGGAAGGAGCTATGGTCTGCTCTACCTTAGAACCTAAATTATTGAACTTGTTTTTAAGATTACAAAAGGCTATACATCAAAGAACTGCTCCCTTTTATATTGGACATATTTGATCACATACTAGTCTTCCTGGGCCATTTTCCAATGGCAATGCACAAGCAGATCGGCTTATAGGATACCTTGCTGCTTTTGATCAGGCTAAGGAATCACATCGTTAGTTCCATCAGAACTCCAAGGCACTACAACATGATTTTCAGCTATCTTGAGCTCAGGTACGACAGATAGTTATGGCTTGTCCTAGTTGCCAGCAGATTCCACAGCCCATTCCCCCTGAGGGAACTAACCCTTGAGGCCTAGCCACCAATATGATTTGGCAGATGGATGTGACACATGTCCCCTCTTTTGGAAAGTCTCGATTTGTACATGTCTCTATAGATACACTTTCACACATGATACAGGCCAAATGTCACTCTGGTGAGAAAAGACACCATGTTCAACAACACTGCTTGTCCACCTTTGCTGCCATGGGAGTGCCCAAAAATATTAAAACTGACAATGGTCCATCATATGTTAATAAATTTATCCAAAAATTTTTTCTTATTTGGCATGTTAAGCATAGTACTGGTGTCCCGTATAATCCACAAGGACAAGCGATAGTAGAAAGGGCCCATGCCACCCTCAAACATCAATTGCTTAAACAATCACAAGGAAATCAGCTGCCTCCACAAGCCTGTTTAGATCTAGCTGATTTTGTACTTAATTTTTTGAATCCTGTAGCAGGCTTCACCCAACCACCTGCTATGCTCCATTGGCATACAGATGCCACGGCTAAGATTCAGAGGCCACAAGTCCTTTGAAAAGATGTCCAAACAGGTAAGTGGAACAGCCCTGCTGCTGCCTTAATAACTTGGGGGAGAGGTTTTACCTGTGTCCTAACAGAAAATGATGAAATCTTGTGGCTGCCCTCCCAGAATGTGAGACCATGGGTCACACTGGTAGAAACACCAACATCTTGCAGAATGGGTGATAGCACCCCAGCTGAGAGCAATGAGCCAGCTGCACCTGAGCGACCCACCTCACCAGCAAGGACCAACAAATCCACAGTGGGGTCCAGGATTGAGATGATGTCCCCAGAGGAAGAATAAATATAGATTTTTTAAAAGGGGGGGGCACCACTTGAAAATGTTCTTTTTACATTTATAGGTATAAAAGTGCTTGCATTCCTTCTGATTCTAATCTCAAGGGATCTCTGTTAATTGACTACAAAAGTTTTTGACCAATCTTATATACAATTATAAACCTAAAAATCATAAAAGGGATATTATAATTCAATTTGGCCAAGTATATTTGAGTGCACTATAATCTTATAAATTGTCTTATATGTTTGTTGTCTGTTTGTCCATCTGTACAGTTGGGCTCAAAAATTTTTTTTCTCTCTTTTTTCCTTTTCACCTTTTGAAAAAAAACTTTTTTTCCTTAAAAGATATTCACCTATTATTGGATTGGCTTACAGATAAATGTTATTAAATTAAAGGCATGCCCTTCTTCCCCCAGGTTGCTAACTGATCAAAGTGGCATCGAGATTTATTTGTCAAAGTACACAGAGACTGTGGGTACTCCCTTTGGTGAATAAAGAAGCGGCCACCCAGAAAATGATTATTCTGGTCTGAATTCACTAAAGGGACCCCCTAGTAATTTTCATAATCTTATGGGAGACACACTGCAATAAATATTATCTCACTATGTTATTATAAACTGATTACATTGGTTATCATTGAAGTTTAAGTTCTAAATATGTTATTATAAAATGTTTATATTGGTTAAGGTTCTAAAAATGTTATTGTGATATGTCTACATTGGTCATTTTCAAAAGATTAATTTCTGTGGCATAAACAAAAGAGCGTTATTAGAAAGATGATTTTGGTACCAAACTACATTGAAGAACACAACTGTGATATTGATTACTGTTCCTTTTCTGGTGTACAAAGTGTATTCATGCCCTCTAATTGTATGGGTCTTCCAATATATTGTGTATGGTAATAACCTTTGTTTCAGATATTTGCCCTTCTCTTACGCTCCAGCACCTATGATAATAAGCACACTTGTAGGCTGACTTATTTTCCTTAGATGACGTCCTATAAAAAGATAGCTACTTACAGATCCAACCACAAGAACAACCATAATTGGCAATAATAACAGTTTAACTATATTTTTATTCCAAAATGCTTAATATCCAGGTAAAATTATAATACTTGAGTCCACTACTCCTCTTACAATGCTAATGTTATTGACCTTCTCTTCTGGGTGTTCAACAACCAAAGTTTAGAGGCCAAAACTGAAGAGGTATCTGGGCTAAGAAGGCAGCCAATATTTTGGCCCTGGCCCTCCAAGGTCAACAACAGTAGCAAAAAGATCCAGGTCATGAGGGAACCTTCTCCAAGATCCTGCATCTTTGGTGAGTCACCCAACCTCCTGAGCAGGGAGGTTGCTGAACACCAAAACAGTAAAGAGCCAACAAAAAGTGGGCCAAAGGAATGTCACCTGGAGGAAAAAAATCTCCCATGCTTTAGCAAAAGGCAACATGGTCAAGCAAGGCCGTGACATATCCTGGTGGCTCACACTGACAGAGGAGCTAAGAGGCTCTATGCATGGTTCCAAGACAGTGCCTGTGGAGACTCAATTGACCTTGTTAGAGAGTAAGAGGTGATTTTATTTAATATAGGTCTCCCCGTAACTTGGTTTTAAACACCCAGTAGAGAAGTATAACTAAAGACAATAGTTATTTGAGTTCAACAAAAGTTTTAAGTTTTTGAGCCAACAATGTTTAAAAAAAAATGGATTTTTGCAATGTGTCTTTTTTTTTTTTTTCCTGGTACTGGAGATTGAACTCAGGTCCTTGTGCTTGCGCAGCAGGCGGCGAAACCACTGAGCTAAATCCCCAGCCCAGAAATGGATTTTTAATCCTTTTACAGCCCCAATTAAGAGAAATTATGCTTATGATAGACAGCTGAGCCAGTCAAACACTATAGATCCTCTCAATACATAGGGACAAGCCATTGTTGGGTGTGCTCGCTTTTCCTAAAAACACCCTCACATAAAACAAAAAGAAAGGGAGATATGTCAGGAGCAATGCTATATAATTTTTGGGAAAAATCATTTGATTAGGCCTAGTTCTCCTGCCTACAGGCCAGCTATGGCGTTCTGAGACATAATTGCATTTTGGCCTCCAGTCACAACTGAGACCTCAATGATCCGGTGATGCTGTCTGTGATTCTCCAGGACAAGAAACATCCTGGGAGCTGAAGACATCCTGGGAGGAGCATGCTGTGGGCACTGCTTTCAAGGCGACAGAGCTGAGCCCTGCAGTGAGCCCGTCTCGCAGGGCCCGGCCGCCCCACACTTGGTCCCTTCGGCAGACAGCTGCTTCCCTTCCTGCTTCTCTGTCAAGCTTGCCACAGCCACCGGCCCTCAGCAGGGAGCAGGCACCAGCTATGCAGGCCCTCCAGACACCGAGGCCCCAGCCCAAGAGCCCTCATCATGAGCTACCCAGCTCAAAACAGACGGAGACAGGGATTCATGCAAACCTGGGTTATGTACTTGCTGCCAAGTGTCAGGTGTCTGTCCTTTTCACAGTTATTATTACTTTAATTTGTTAAAAATGTACTCGTGGGAGTGTGAAGTCATTTCACGTCATGTGGAGTCAGGTCTTTGCCACTCCTCCTCCGTGTGCTCCTCTGCTGCCCGAGACACAGGCAGGCACTCGGCTTCGGCTGTGTGTGTGGACCCTGTGACAGCTGCCAGGTCAGTGCCTCAGGAGCTTCTGATGATGGAGAAAACTAAGAGCGCACGAGAGACCAAGCTCACTAGAAAGCAGGACCGGAAGGGACACGCAGCCCCAACACTGGTCCGGAAGGGCCAGAGGGGTCATCTCAGCTGAGCTGGCCTGAGCTCCGAGGCAGGTGTGGCCCCGGTGGGGGAGCCACGGAGCGGAGAGCATGGCCTTGGCCGAGCTCACCGGGCTCCCTGAGGGCCAAGGGGCTCTGGTCTCCCAGTCCGCGCACAGAGGCTGCCTGAAACCCCCGTCTCCAAGTCGGCAACAGGGAGCGGAAGTGCAAGGGGCTTCCCACTGGGTCTCGGCTCCTTGGACCGCATCTTAACGGTGCAGGTAGAGGAGGCCCCGCAGGCCCCAGGCTCCCGTGGCCGGTGCGAGGGGGAGAAGCGGTGAGCACAGACACGCGGGGGACCGCACAGTGGCGCTGCAGAAGAAGCCTGGACACGGCCTCCACGGAGCCACCGGGCCACAGCCCTGCTGCCGCGCGGTGGACTCCCGCTGAGAAGCCCCAGGCTGCGGTCACGGCCGCCAGAGCGAGGGAACGCAGTGCCCTGGACACCACCCGCCCACATTCTCGGGGGGCAGCAGGGGGTCCGTGGCGGGAGGCCCGGTGGGAATAGGCACACCCACTTGCCCGCCCGGAGCTGGAGGCTGGGCCAGGCTGGCAGCTGAGTGTGTGTGTGTGTGTGTGTGTGTCTCTGTGTGTGTGTGTGTGTGTCTCGTGTCTGTGTGCATCGCTGTGTGTGCCCAGTGTTTCTCCGTGGCACAGGGGAGGAAGCTTGCCCCGTGTGGGTGCCAGGCTTGCTGCCAGGTGCCGTGAGGCAGCACCCCCAGTGACAAGGCCCCAGGCCCGCCCCACAGCAGGTCCCTGGCAGGCGGACGCCATGAAGGCCAAGGCCGTGCTCAGGGGGCCACGGCCTCCTCAGGACCTCCAGGAACAAAGATCTCCGCAGTCGTCCGGCTGTCGCCAGCTGGAGGGACAGTCCAAGAGGCACAGACTCCAGGCTCTGCTCACACACCGGGCTCCCCAGGGCTTTCGATACCGGTCCTGAGAACAGGACTGTTGGGAGCAGCTTTGCTTTTGTACCACTAGATGTCACCCTGGCTGTGCCACAGGGGACTGAGAGGCCCTGGGCAGTTAGAGGGACTGAGAGGCCCCTGCACAGGCCACAGGGGAGAAGCCGTGGAGAGAGAGACGGGCTCCGACCTGGAAGCCTCACACACTTCCTGGGAAGCGGCTGGCATGCGGCAAGAACTTCGGGAGTCTGGGAAACTCCCCAGGGAGCTGGGATGCCGAGCCCGGCTCAAGACAGCCAACCCCGCTGTAAGCGGCCACTGTGGTCCAGATGCTGTACAGAAGGCACCTATTGTCAGTGCAGTTACAGTTGAAACCTACTCTGGAGGTGTGCTTTATGAGCTCAGCAGAAGAAAGGAGGTCTGCGTTGGAGTCCGGGAAGTGGCCCCGCCCCTTCACCTCCCCTGGTGCTGCAGCTCCGTGGAAGGATCCCGAGTGCCCCGCCCCCTGGGTCTGGCACCCTCACCATCTGCTGCTACAAGGGGCCACTCTGGGGGCTGAGGTGGGGGGCCATGGGGAGGGGGAGCAGCGGCCGGAAGGTGACCTGGAAGCCCTTGGTCCCTTCCCGTGGGTTTTAGCAGGGAGCCTGGCGCTGCTACTCGTCCCCTGGGATGCTCAGGACTTCCCAAAGCTGTCACGGGGAGGGCTCGGTGACGGCAGCGGAGGACAAGTTCCCCTGCCACGAGCTTACCTGAGGGCGGCCGGGGAAGCCAGCATCGCAGAGCTTGGTTTGCCGAAAGCCAGTCCAGCAGCCTGCACAGCGAAGGGGCAGACATATCCTACCGTCCCAGGAGAGAAGAGGAAGGAAGCATCTCCATTCTACACCGCGCGGCTGTAAAATCTTCGTGGCTCTCATTTCCTTGGGCTCCACTTGCAAGACCTTCACTCTTGCCTCCTCTTTTCTAGAGCACCTGTGTGCAGACAGGTGCAACAGGATGGTGAGGGGCTTGCTGCCGAGACAGGAGGCAGCACCGCGGGTGCAGGGCAGGGCGTCCAGGGTCCTGCTGGGGCCACAGGGGGGCCACACAGGCCTGGACCAGCTCCTGCAGACTTCAGCCTGCACCAAGACAAGACCAGAGTGGAAGGTGGCTGGCTCCGCTGAAGGGATCTGCCAATCCACGGAGCATTGCCTTTGGGGGGAAACATTACCTCTCTTCGTGGTGCCCACCTCTACCCAGATCAAAGTAGTGGTGCCCCAGCAGGGCCGTTTCTGGAGACTGTGGGTGCATATGGACAAATCCCACATCCCCCTGTCCTGTTAGGGCTCTGGACTGCGGCATTTGCCTGTCTGCCCACTGAGTCTTTGAGCACAAGAAAGAAGGGGAGGGCGGCAGGGCGGAGAGAGGAGTGTGGGCAGCCTCCCTCCTGCTCTCTGTGGGGCGAGGACTGTGCATTGCCAGCAGGCCATGGGCAGATGGGGAGTGAGCAGGGCAGAGCTTGTCCTGCCTGTGTCCTCCTCACACAGGAAGCTGGGGCGGGGGGAACCAGGTAACCAGGGGCGCATCCCCTGGGGCGGAGACACAGCCATAACCCGAAAGGGCAATGGGGAGGGACACTCCCAGAATGGCACATCATCCTCCCTGCACACAGAGCCAGCCGGAAAAGTGCTTTTTTGTGCCAACCAGAAATTTGCTATTTAAATCTGTTGCTTTTCACGGGACCAATGAGATGCTCTTTTCAATCCTTTAGCTGCATCTGAGCACAGCCAATGAAAAGACACTATTTCTGATCTTCATTTACATATGGCAGGAAGCCCAGCAAGGTTTTTGATGGGACAGTTTCTACGTGGTGTGACCCCAAGTGAGTATTTGAGAGTACAACTTGCCAGACTTTTCTTTACACAGAAAGAGATAACTTGGGAATTGTGGATGCAAAAGACCCCTTTCCCTTACCCTGTGAGCTTTTATGCAGGCCCCGCTTCTTTTCTGCCTTCCATAACTGTACACCTTGCTGCTTTTCTGCATCTTGTTCAGTTCTTTGTTTGGGACCCACAGAACCACAGGCCTCCCCATGGCATCTCCTGCAGGGTCCTGTCAAATGGGTTCCCCCAGACAAAAGGCCCAGGGCCCAGGAAGCCCTGGATATGCCCTGGTCTGAAAGTCTGCCATGGTGAAGAAGAAGCATCAGCCATCCATGAAGATGTGGCTCACTTTCCTCTATCCTTTCTCTTGCAGAGGCCAAGGAAGACTCCCAAAGGGTCTGGTTCCTGTGGGGGGAGCAGGTGTGGGCTCTGGGAGAGGGGAACCCACATAGAACGACTTTTCAGCTGCACAGGGCGCTGGGCATTCTGCATCCCGGTCCGGTCCAGTCCAGTACAGCAAGCGAGCAGGAAACGCAGTGCCAACAGCACTGGCTGAAGACTGATAGGAGCACATGGAACCCTTCTGCCTCAGAACCCACCACGTACACGACTGCTCAGTGAACTATTTACGAGAGTTTCCCACTAGGGACAAAATCCAACTTTACACAAAGAGACTTTATACGGAGGAGCAGCGATCCCCTGATTTCCACGTGGTTTCTTTCTGGCTTCAGGCATGTGACCTGCCTGTGTCACTGTGTGTCTAGCTCTTTCTTTAGACTTGTAGTACGCCATCTATCCTAGAGGATTTGAGACACAAAGCTTCCGTGCCTATGCAGAAAGTCACTGAAAGCTTAAACTCCTTGTGAAAAAAAAAATCCAAATCTAGTGATACTGAAGGAAGAGGGGAAGGGAAAACTTGAAGAGGAAAAATGAAATAAAACACCCTAAAGCTTAATCAAATTTCAGTGACTGTGTCTCTTTGGCATAGTGCTGGATCTTCCAGTGACGGCCCACACGTCATCGGCTCTGGCGAAGCTCCGTGTGTTGCTGCTGCGCCCTTCTCCTGGGGCCGCGGCAGTGGACAGCAGCTTCGAAAACACCACTGTCACACGGTGATTCCAGAATTGGCAGCAGCAGATCACTCATTAGGTAGATTTTAATGTGGCTCTGGGACATGTTCCTGGAAGCTTGAACAGGGCCTGTTTCCTCAGTCTTTCAGATGAGCTTTTGAATTTTTGTTTCTGTTTTTTGGTTTTTTTTTTTGAGACAGGGTCTCACTGTGCAGTTCAGGCTGACTGGAACTCACTAGGTAACTCAGGAGATCCTCCTGCCTCAGCCTCCCAAGTACTGGGATTGCAGACATGTGCCATGAGGCCCAGCCAGGCTGTCAGATCACTATAGCTGAATAAATTCCCCTTCTGTGAAACTGAAGTCTGCCTACTGCAGATGAGAAGGCTGAAGGGTGTGCTGTTACATTCCCCAGTTTCATTGTCCTTAAAGCAATGCAACTCTCTTTTTATTTGTTTATATAGTTAGCGTCTGTCTCCATCCTTGACATATACACTTCCAGGGAACAGTGACCTCGTCTGTTTGTCCAACTCTGGTTGCCCAGTGTCTAGAACCATGCCTGGCACTTAGCAGCCTTCGGTTTCTAAAAAGGTGTGGCTTCTTGTAAGAGGCAGGAAGTGATGAGTGCCCCCTGGACAGCGACATAAGGCAAAAGCCACAGAAAGATGAATCCTGGACGAAGCCTGGAGGGAGTAATGCTTGAGCTAGATCTTAAAGAATGAGCGTTGCTTTGGCTGGAAACACTGGGCAGGGGAAGTGATCAGTAGATACTGCTGCGACCCTGAGCTACAGAGTCTGGTTGGTAAAGCTGGTTGCTTTTCATAGGTATCCAATCATTCATTTTAAGTTATTTATTCATTAATTTCATTAATATGTTCTGTGCATTGGCTATTTACCAATCCATCTCTGAGCTAGAAATGAAGACTAGAAACATAGCAAAGCTGTATGCCTCCCTTGAGTTGCTTTCAGCCAGTCTTTCAACAAAACCTCCCTGGAATCACCTCTGTCTCGGAGCCTTGGAAATACTGGAATAAGGGCCTACCAATGTGCAGGGGACCAGCTGAGGAATGGCTACCTCTGTCTTGTGGGGTGGGAAAGCCCCTTTCCAAGCTGGGTTGAAAAGGAAGAGCCTATTTGGCCTTCTCTAGGAAGGGACCCATGGTATCCTGAGAGAGGACTCAGGGTGCTCACAGGTGTGGAGAACAGAAGGCGTTTGGAAGCTCTGGGGACACTGAGCTGAGGACAGGGGTCGGCACGAGTGCATTGGGAAAGAGGCTAAGGTGTGGACTCGGAAGACCTCGGAAGTCCTTCATGCCACACCACGGAACTGGGGCTTCATCCTGCAGATGACTGAGAATACTCGTCAGAAATTGCAGAGTTTTGCAATACAGTAAGTGCTTTAGGAAGATGAGCCTGACAGAAATGTGTGCACTGGGCCAATTGGAAAGGGGTCAACTGGACAGCTGCCTCCGAAATCATCTCAGTGAGAAAGGCTAGGCCCTGGTGCGTGCTGGCGGGAGCTGCCAGATTTAAGGAACAGTTCCTAGACAGATAACAGTACTCGACCTTGATTGTTGGTTGAATGTTGGCACAAGGGGAAGGGGAAGATGTCGTGAAGATCGCCAGCTTGGAAAGCTGATGAGTTCATTAAATGAGAAGACTCCAAGCTGGAAGTCTTACGTGTCGGAGAAATGTGTGGTTGAAATGTTCTGTAATGGTTTTAGGGATCTGAATCGTGACCCTTTAATCCCAGCAGAAGCTGCTGCATGACTGCGCTTGTGCAGGATGGGTCCCCCTGGTGTTGATTTTGGTGTTACACGAATACTGCTTCTCTGGCAGTGGTACAGTCACTTTCTTACAACTTAGCGCTGCTTCCTGTCAGCTTTGAGTGCTCTCCAGCCCTCGGTTCTGGGGCTCTCTCCTCCCTCCTGACAACACTGATTTCTCTGCCCCGCCCTTGTCCCTCCTTGCCATGTGCACACTCCCATTGCTAGCTCTGGCTTTCCTCCATTTATGCTCTGACAGTATAATTGCAAGATCCCCTGCCAAGCCTTGAGGATGCACCCTAGGGTCTGCAGTGTACTTTGGGGACCAGAATGTAAACCCTGAGACACACATTTAAGTATTGCAGGGTGGAGATGGGCAGGAGGAGACACCTGACTGTCCGAGGGCTGGGCCTACAGAGCAGGGGCGCTTGCTGAGTCTCCAGCCGGCAGAGTGCGAGAGCACTCTGAAGGGAGGAGCAGGCAGGCAGGGTCACAGCAACCGGAGAAGCCTGAGATGCTTGAGCTAGAAGGAGCGGTCCTGCTCAGGGTCTGAGCGTGCATCTCATCACCTCTGCCCCTCCTTGCTCCACCCCACACCACTCCCCTCGCCCAGGACTCTCTCTTTCTCACCGGAAACGTCAGCGGCTGTAGAAGCCTCCACCGCTAGAGCCGACAAAGAGAGATATTGATTGCTCCCACATCTGGAACCCCTGAGCCACAGGGCACAAGCCAAGGAGCACTGCCAAGTGGGTCCCTTCATGGACACAGCGGCCCTGTGGCCCACTGGGAGGAAGGCTGACCCGGAAGCCAGGTCCTCAGCCATCATTCCCCCGGGGGAGGAGGCTCTACCAATCCGTCCCAGGAGCTTACACAGCTGTGGGGCAGGGACTTGAAGTAGGAGGAATAGAGCAAATCCAGCCTTGTTTGGGAAAGCAAAAGTGAGTTTACCTTTCTGAGCTGCGCCTTGAATCATCAGTCTCTCCTCTCTCCCTCCTTTCTCTGTCCGAGTTGAGAGTCTTTTTTTCTAGGTACTGTCTTGTCTGCCAAAGTATCCTGATATCCTTTCTAAACTCTGAGTTTTTTATTTTTTGAAGCCATACTGTATTGCTATCGTAAGAAAAACTGAGCCATCACCAGGAAGGAATGACAAGAACTTGACCACTTCCTGGCAACGCCTTCTGGTCTTCTCCAGAACCTTCTGCCTCCCACTCACATTGCCTTCCAGCCACCACCTTCCTTCCCACAATGCCCCTTGGGGCTTCCTTCAGAGCCACGTCCAGAGAAGGCAGAGGGTCAGCCTCTAAGACAGTCTCTGAGACAACCAGATTTGAGGGATTGGAATAAGCACTGCGAGCTTCTTGGGGCTTCCAGTCATCAGTCACATTCTCTGAAAGTGAGGGCCAGAGAAAGAGGAGGCCAGGGACCGAGCATGAAGAGAGCAGCACTGTTACTAGTGTACAGTTTCTGTGAATCTCCACTCTACTGGATGGTATTTCAGTCACTCACTCTCAGGGAAGTTTCTCAAGGCAGGAATTATTAGAAGTCCAAGGCAGGGATGTGTCCTCCTTTGTAGGCCTGGGTTGGAGCACAGCTCCGTGGCTTCAGTCCATTTCCCATTCCAGTTTGGCATACGGTTTCAGTGCCTGAGAGGAAGTCCAGTCCAGGAAGCCTGGGTCAAGGAGAGATCCAATCACGCTGAACACGGCCAGACCTCACCTGGGTAAGAGGTGGTATAGAGATGGTGGGTATCCACAGATCAGGGGCTAAGAGCACACAGAAAGCGTCCAGTAAGCTAAAATAAATGTAGAAAACAGTAAATACCATTCATCCTGGGATTATTACATGTTACTTTTCACGCCATGGAAAGCCTTCCCCATGATCGAAGGGGGCAGACACTTAATGGTTTCCCCATTTTCAAATGAAAAAACTAAAAATCACTGCACTTAAATAGTTGACAGGAGGTTAAGCAGCAGTAAGCAGTAAGTCTGTGATTTGTACCCACAGAAAGTCTCCAGAATGGCCCATTTTAGTGAGATTATTTGGTTTTGGCTATTGAGTTATATGAGGTATGTACTATATATTTTGTATATTAACCCTTACATAGATCCTTTGCAAATACTTTTCTCAATACGTAGGTTGAATTTTCATTTTGTGGATGGTATCCTTTGCTGTTTAGAAGCTTTTTTTTTTTTGTTACCGAGGATCGAACCTAGGACCTTCTACTTTCAAGGCAGGTGGGGGAACCACTGAGCTAAATCCCTGGCCCATATAGAAGCTTTTTGATTGAATGTGATTTCATTTATTTATTGTTGCTCTTTTTTCCTGAGCTATTAATGTGATTTTGAAAAAATCATTACCAAATCCAAGAATCTTTCTGCTTGTGTTTTATTCTAGGGGTTTCGTGGCCTTGGCTCCTATATTTAGATCATTTATCATTTTCACTTAATTTTTTATCACAGTGTGAGGTGAGTGTCCAATTCCATTCTCTTGCATGTAGAAATCCAGTTTTCTCAACACCATCTATTGAAGAAATGGTCCTCTCTCTCTTGTGTCCTCTTGGTGCTCTTGTTGAACACCGAATTTTTTTATCACAGTGCACACACAGGGCCCACATCTTGTAATTCCTTGGCTCCTCAGGGCCAGTGGACTCAAGCAATGCGGCCTCACACACCTGACTTTGTTCTGCAGTGGAAGGACCTCTCCTGGCTCCTCCAAGGAGTGAGCATGTGCCTGAGGATCATTGGCATGTGAAGAACAAAGGAGTTCTCTTCCAGCCCCACACAGGCAACGATACCTGAAAGGCAGTAAACCCAGCCCTGTTGCGACCCTGCATCTGCCAGAAGAAAATTTTCCAGTGAGGGTCGACATGCATGACTGCCTCTCCAGCAACACTGAGAGTGCAGTGCACCCGGAAGACACAACAGCTCAGCATTTGTGTGCAGTTAAACAGACAGGTTTAAAATGCACTGTTCAGTGTGATTTAAGAAAAGTCAGTAACAGGACAGAGGATTTAGCTCAGTGGTTCTGCTTCCTGCTTCGCAAGTGCAAAGACCTGAGTTCCATCCCCGGTACCTAAAAAAAAAAGTATAAGAAAAGTCAGT